AAAAATATTTTGACTCCATTTGTGTGTAATTATAGCTTAGGGAAATTTAAATTTTTTTTTTAAAATTATGTTCAATAGACTCTTTTTCACTTAGTAAAAAAGCTTGAAAATGTAATTTAGTTCAAACGAGTTCAAAAATATTAGAAATACATAGGCACGATTATTTTTATATGTATTTAAAGTTAAAATGTTGACAAAATTCATCAAAATCTCGACATTTTTCAGTTAGAAATTCATAAAAGTATCTTAACAATACATTTTAATAGAAGATTTGTCATACACATTTGTCTACCTCGAAAAATAGTCCCATATATAATGAAGTACCTTCTTAAGCAAAATAATGTCAGTCATACACCAGGTAACCATAAATCATTTAAGTTATGTTAAACAAACAAAGTTTTAAAGTTTTAACCATATCATAATGGTCCTTATAGTCATTACTAATTATATATAGGTAATAAGCAATCCAACATATAGGTAATATGTTATCCAACATAGGTAATATGTTATAGGTTTTTTATAATTTTTGTTTTTTTACATTGCGTTTGTGGTACCTATCATTCATCCATGTCCTAAGGTCTACGGATTACTTAAATAATGGACCTTTAAGTATTAACACGCTGCGCATGAGATATGCCAATTTAGACAACTCCTTTTCTTTTATAATCTAACCTTGTATGCCTTTACTTAATTTTGAGGTTTTATCTGTATGACGTTTTTATTTATACAATATGTACCTAATTACCAAATTAACCATATATTGTATTGGGCTTTCCACCTGTTAAATAAATTTAATAAAATATGTCAAGATTAATATTTGTGAAGTAGTTATATAAATATAATAATTGATATCAGTATATCACATCATTGAAATGTAGAAATATATATTGTAGAGATTTTTTAATTCATTCCTGACTAAAACAATAATGTTACATGATATTTATTTGAAAAATATAAATTATAAGAAATAGGTACCCGTACCTGTAACTTATAATAAGATTAGATGTTATATCAAAGAAGTTGAGAGGACATCACACACACATGAGTTCAGAGTTGTTTCCGTCTTACGAAAATATACAAGTTACAAGTGAATCGCGGTAAAAAGTCCGAAGTAAAAATTCTAGGAAAATAAATCGGGTATACAGTATGTCCCAGAAGTCCCCTATCACCCTTAATATCTCCGTGGAAAATCAATATATTTAAATGCAGTTTTTTTTACAGTAATAGGTAAGTATGGAAATTCTGATTGAATAGCGATTTATGCGATTTATTTTTCAAAATATCAAAAATTTTTTTTTATGCTAATAAGTTTGTTAAATTTCCAAGATAGCCATTTTGTTGATTGTATTTTTTAAAACAGTTCGAAAAAAAAATTTTAATTTAATGAAAATCGCCCTAGTTGGAGCTAATTATTATTTCGAATTTCTAAGACTAATAGTTTTGTTACCTATATGCAATATGCATACGGCAATAGCAAAATACGATTCGCATGCTTTAATCAGAAATTGGAACGCTGATATTTTATAAATTCAAAAATATTATCTGTGTGACTGTGTTTGTAGGTATATGTTGGTTTCTTACAATATTATTTATATTTTCAAATTGTAATATTTACGTATCTACCTTATAATATTTTGCTTAAAAAATTAAAATACCTATCGTAAAACCCAACACTCTAAGTATTACGAACAATGATAATTTTTTAAGGTTTCGTACTGTAAATGGGTAAACCCTATTACTAAGGCACCGCTGTCCGTCTGTCACCTGGCTGTATCTCATGAAATATGAAAGTTAGAAAGTTGAAATGTTGACAGATTATATATTTCTGTTGCCGCTACAACAACAAATACCTACTAAAAATCCTAGAATATATAATATAAGCAGTGTTGCAAAAATGTTTATAGATGATGGTACGGAACCCTTCGTGCGACTCGCATTTGGCCGGTTTTTTTTACCTTCAAATTTGGTTTTGGTAATATTGGTCAGTTCAGTATTCTCTCTAATATCAAAACTAACAAGTAACAACACAAAATTGATCCCGTTGGACGTAAATTCGATATTTTTTACGTTTGTAAAAACCACGATTTAAGATAGTCTATCTTAAATCTTGGTAATAACTAAGATGGATTATGGAATATGGACACAAGTTGTCTTAAAAAACATATGCGGGTGAGACGTCCTCTTAACAGATGCCTAGGAAATAAACGAAGCGTTTTGATTTTGCTTGCAAGTTTATTATTTTTAAGATTTTAGGCAATGAAATTGGCAAAACTCGGCACCCATGTTTAGGCTACGTCTGTAGAGGGTGGAGGTCAGAAATACATTCAAATTAGAAGATTGTTAATATTTCAAGCATGATAATATTTTGGTGGATAATGTTTGGTTGGTGGTGTCCACTGTCTAAGATATACCTACCTTATACTTTAAACCGTGGTGGTGCCGTGGAGTGTGGAAGTTCTTTAATCAGGGGCGTAGAAAAGTAGTTTTTATTAATTATTTTTATAGTTGTAACACCTTTTAGAGCAATAAAAAATAAAAATCCTTCAATTGCCAACGATGAATATGGGGTTTGCTTACAAAATATCTTGTAGTTAAAAATTCATAATAGGTATTCTATAATTTTTAATAGTTGAAGCCTAAAAATGTATTATAACTTATAAGGTTCATAATATATTATTCTTACAGACATTAAAAATTTAGAAAATAATATTATGTATATTTTTTTTAGTGGTAGTATAAATCCAAAGAACAGGCTTTTTTCATGTTCCAATTTTGTGACTATACTATTTAATATTTTTCACAGAGTTGTTCCAAATACCTTCCTGAGTGTCACCACATTGCTAAATTTTTCATTTTTGTCGGTGGGGATGGATAGGGGGGATTATATTTTTATAATGTATATTATATAATATAAAATCCAAATACCACTGACTTACTGATTTAGAATAGATGTTCCTCTAAATTTTAACTTTTTTAACTTTCACTGGGCAATAAGAAAGGATTTGCCAAAATTAGCATTTAAAAAAGGTGCTCAAACAGGGACATTGCAGTTAACTATGGAAATTGGAAATTTTATTTTTATTTATTAATAATTGCCACTGGTTACAGTCTACATTAGAAATTAGTATTTATATATTATTGGTTGGATCAGGGTACAAGCTTGCATCAAATCAAATTGTTGAACATTGCCTACCAATATAAAAGAGTTGCCCTTTGGCTGCGATCCGGCGTAGTCGGATGGCTTACCAGGGTAGCTGAGTTGCACTTACTGCAGCAACTTAACCCAAAAAGAGTTGAACAATCATAATATTTTCAAGAGTCGCTATTTTTTACGGGTAACAAAGTGCAAGGGTACAGCTACAAAATTATATAAATAATTTAATATTTATTAAATATCTTTAGGAATAGTCTGACACACAGTTTTTGCTCAGAATACCCTTTCTTATGCAATGGTTTTAGGTTTATAATTATATTATGATCATTGAATTCAAATTTAACACATCAATTATTACAGTCGAGTACAGTGACGAGGTATATTTTAAAACTACTATACAGCAGATTATACATAATTATTCATAGTATTACAGTAGGATATGGAGAAAGTTTTGTTGAAGGTCTCTTTATATTAATTTACAAAGAAATTTAATTCAGTTTTTGGCAAATTTAAATTAAATACTTTTAAAAATGGTACTAAGTTTATAAAAAAAAATGAAAACATAATTACTACAAAAAACTAATTATTTTTTTAGTTATTAATTTATAGAAAAAAAAATACTTTTTACTTAGATATTTTATTACTTTATACCAAATAACCTAATATCCTAACATGTAAAAGTATAATTAATTTAGTTTGAATTGTATATAAATGCAATTGAATAAAAACACAACAACTTGTGTTAGCAATAGATATTGGGTTTAATTGGCATCATAGATAGTATAATGTATTTATGAATAAGTACTTTTATTTTATAGAAATGTATTAATATTTCTATAAATTAGTTAATTTGTAGTATGTATGTTAATTTGTACATACAAAAGATAATTGTACAAGTAAATTCAATTGACAGATAAATTTGGGTGGTAAATATTTTAGTTAACATAATAAAATAATTGGTATTTGGCCAAATATTAAATCTAGATTAAATAGTTAACTTATCAAACATTTCAAAACAACAGTTTTTCTTTTAAACATAAATAACACTAATAATGACACGAGTTTGAGCCAAAAGTGATGAAAACTTTAGTAATGTATAATTGAAGCTATAACACAATTTTTAATCATTTAATTTTGAAGGTGGTGTTGTATCGACATTAACTGTCAGTCATTTCAACATACAATATAGAAAAATTGTAATTTGTATTTCTTTTACTGTAAGTTTAAGGGTAAGATCAGAGTAGAATCATATAAAAACCTAATTTTTGATAGTACTGTACATATTTTTAAATTTATCATTCAAAACAAGTTATAAGTACTTTAACTTCTAAATATTTTTTTAACAATGTTTTAATGTTAAATAATTTTTTTTTGAAATTGTAATATTAAAATATTGATTTATTTAATCTCAATATTTTGAACTATGATACGATCACAAGTCAAGTTAATTTAAATAAAAAAATAAAGTTAATTTAATATGGTAATAAATAGAGTATTTAATTTTTACCAATTCTATATTAAGCCCACAGTAACAGAAATATGACCTACATTTTTCTATATTGCTTGATATAGATGGTTTGTCAATATTACTGTTATAATGTTGTCTTATCATTGATTTTGATTAATAATATAAATTATAATCTATAGTACTTTTAGTTGGTATGGAAGTCAATCTCTAGACTCTATGAAATAAATTATGTGTAGTGTGCACTGTGTATATTCATGGCCTAAATTTTCTATATGATCACGGAGAATATGAAAATAAACATCTTGACATATTTTAGAACTATTGTAAACGATGAAAAACATAATAAAAATGAGATCTAATGATTATACTCTGTAATTTCTAAAATCCAGTAGCACCAAGCATATGGCGTATTTGTTCAAAACTCATCCAAAAAGTTAATGACCAGGGTGCCATTCTAATCCAGACAGGTAAAAATCCTTTGTAAAGAGCAAAAAACCCTTCATTTTCAATAGTCTTAATCAAGCAGTCTAAAGATCCTTTGTATATCAAACCACTAAAGAAAAAAAAAATACATTAAAAAAATTGACCTAAAAATGCATTTCTTAATACATTTATAATGATTGAACTTACATTCCATTTTTGTCAGTTGGTTGATTCATAACACGTGTTTTGACAACATCTGCTGGAGTTCCTAATGTAGCTGCTACTAATCCAGCACATATACTGGAATAATAAATCACACTTAGAAATCTTAACAGTTTATGTAAAATAATAAAAACAATAAATGTATACCTAGAAAGGCAATGCAGTAGATGTGAATCAGGTAATCCAGTTTTATGCATAATTACTTGCTTAGCTGTATCATAAGTAGTCAAATCACCAAGATTTACAAGAGCAGCACGTTGTACATTGGGTATTGAACCTTTCCACAAACCACGAACACCACTTTCAGACACTATTTTTTTGAATGCATGTGCTGTACTTGACACTCTTGAATAATAAAATGATAAAATATTATGCAAGTTAATTTTAAATGACTGTACAACAATATTTAAATATAAATAGTTAAACAATAAATAATAGGTATACCTAGTAGGCTCTCCCATCAGACGTCGTTTGCCTTCCATCTGTATTTGAACTTTGATCAAATCAGCTGGACTAGCAACATACTGAGCAATAACACCAGACATGACTCCGCTTATGGCCGATTTCCTGAAGTTAAATAATAAATCAAAGAATCTACCAATGTGTGTTGTTTATTAGTGAATACCAAATTGGAAATGATCCATCTTCATTTTTTAATAATAATTTATCACGCATGGTTTCGTACGATACAATCCTAATACCAGAATACACTACATGTCTATAGAGTGCGGGCGTCACACCTTGCCATAATCTTAGTGCACCTTCTTCATTGACAATGCCGATAGCCGTCTTTAACATGCCTCTATATTGTGTAGGTTTACTGCTTGTAGCTACTTCGCCTTGTATTTGCAGACGGGTCTTGGTCAAATCCAATGGGTATGTCACTGCACAAGAAAAAAAAATATAACATTAATGGTTAGATATAAGTTTGTGTCAGATTATTAGTTTAGAACCTTGAGTTTCAATGCCAGCACCAGGAATTCCCTGATTTTCTTAAAGAATAATTAAGAACTTGAATACATACCATTAAAATGGGTTTATCGAGAGTCTAATAAAACTATCGGACTTACCAATTAACCATATCTAACAATTTATGGGTAGCCCTTAATAATGAAACAATTTTAAAAAAATATGAAAAACAAGTGTCCATTGTAAATAAGTACATTACTTAGGTATCAATTATTAATAAATAAAAATAATTTGTTTCACATACAATGTTATAACTAGGGATATTGAATAAATGCAGTAAAAACCTTTAAAAACGCTTTTAAAATTTTAAAAAATATAAAAAATATAAACGTATACCTAAAAATCTATCAAATTGTATTAAGACCAAAACTAAATTTCTATTCTTTTACAAAAACTAAATTTTTATTCTTTTACAAAAACGTATACAAGACAAAAATTAAAAAATAATTCATAACCTGTGTGTAAAAAGTTTTAATTATCGAGAATTGTTAAAAACTATTCAAAAAAGTTATAAAAATTTAAAAATGTAGCTATATTGCTATAATATAGGCCCAAAAGAACTAAAAATTAAAAAACTTGTTAAATGTAAACAAATACAAAATTGAGTGTGTTTGTACAAAATTAAAACTTTATGTTAAGAAAACCATGTTTTTCTATAAGTTAAAATTAATAAATTTTTCTATAAATTTTCTACCCTACATAATATTTATTTTAATCTATAATATGTTTTATTAACAGGTGAGGTATGGTAAGCAGTGTTGGGGAGTAACTTAACTTAAGTTACACATTACCGTAACAAAATTACTTTTTAAGTAATTTGATTACATTTTATTGTAAGTCAGCGTCTGCGCATACAGCATTTTCGGAACTTTCAATAAATAGTAATATTAATAAAAGTGTGGGAGACGGAGTGGTCGAGCGGACTAAGGAATTGGTTGCAATGCGTATCGTCTCTGGTTAGAATCTCGGTCACGGGCAGACATCTATCTGGAGAGAGAGGCCGCCATCTCCCGACCGGGCATGGCAGAAACCTAAGGGTGCCCAATTTGAAATTCTGCCAAGTTAAAACACACATGTTTACCAAAACCTGCAGTACCTCCCTCACAGTCAAAAACCACTCAATTGCCTAAGTTGCTGCGGGTTAGTAAGAAAAAAAAAAATTAATTAATAAATAAATGTGTGGTTTGGCTGCTAGCTACCAGTCGCGCAATACAACTGAGAGTAAGTTACGCCTGCTACTACTAGTTTTAGGATGGGTGACCACCGGATTCATAGTAGTAAAAACTTTACCACTTACACATGTTTGCATACATACCGTAACAACTGTAACAACACCTTACCATACCAACCTTACCAACCACAGTTCATAATCCCCTACAATAGCTGATGGCCATAGTTGCCGAGCTTAAGTTCAATAAAAAAAAATAATAATAATAGGTAGTGTAGCAAAATGAGTATCTGTTAATAATTTCATATTTTTGATTGTCATTTATAGGTTATGTATCATTATATTGACACCATGATTATTAAGTTCCAGTGATATTTTTGAAAAAAAGTAACTTCTATTGTAATTCAGTTACTTTTTAAACTTAAAATGAATGTAACTTAACTAAATTAAAAAAAAGTGCCTTAAAAATAATTTAGTTATAATTTTGATAAGTAATTAGTAATGTAATTTAATTACCAAAAATAAGTAACTTCCCCAACACCGATGGTAAGTGAGGATTTTGAGGCAGTGGCGTATTTACGGGGGGATCAAGGGGATCAATCCCCTCCATGGCATAAACCTAAATATGCCACAGGTGTGAGGGGCAAAGCCCTCCATGTTTGTTTCGTCTGAAATTTATTTGGTTCTTAAGTCCTTATTTAATGTTTTTGGGTGATTTGCTCCTACACAGGAGTCATATGGATCTTGTAAAAGTACTCACATATTTCTGCAACACTGGCAGCCACCACAGACACAACATATGTACACCAGAATGAATCAGCATAGTTGTATACTTTGGTTCCAGGTGCTTTGTCTTTGATGGATACCACTTGTGTGAATACCATTATTGGTTTTATTAAACACTGTTATTATTATCATCAGACGCGTTACTGAAATGTGAGCCACCGGTAACTGCTGCTGAATAACAAATAAGCGATGAACACAATTGAGTGATTGGTAAGTATCTAGTATGAACAATGAACTGTGTTAATAGTCTTTATTATTACTACCTACTGTCGAACTGAGAGATTAGATATAAAATAAAACACAAAGGTAGGTAGATAAAATAATGAGTACCTATATTCGGGAGAATAAGGAAGTAGACAAATTATATTAGGTAGGATTCTATTTTTTCTATTAAACAATTCTGTAGACTATAAATACTCACCATTTAGAGGATTTGACCCTGTAAAGTTTTTTTGTATTAACAATTTTATAGTTTAACACATTTGACATTCAAAGTCAAACATCACTCTAACGACATCGTAAGAATTTCAGACTGTAAACACTGATAAGGACAACCTGATGTTCTGATCATATGGTTGTTTGATATATAGAGTGGTTACTATACTATGGTTAGATAACACTCCCGATTTGCCTAAATAATAAACATGTGATTTCGATTAAAGAATAATGATAATATACCTATCGTGCATGTGATTAACTTACTCTTTGCGGCATGGCGTGTTACACTTAAAATATGTCCGTCCTACCATGCCTCTCGTTTATTGATGTAGAAAATACAAATAAACGTGTCAGCCGAACCAACAATTTCTTGATCCGAAATTATGTTTTACGATTTTATTTTAGTTTCTGAGCGAAAAGTCACAGCTGAATAATCACGAAAATTATCTAATTATTTTGAGTTAAGAATTGATACAAAATTTACTTATTAAATCTAAGATTTGAAAATGTAATACAAGATTCCTCATAAGTTGTCTATCATTATCAAAAAAAAAAAAAATGTCTACAAGCTAATCAAATTACATTTTTATGAGTGTTTGAAGTTTATATTTTTACAAGATTGGATATTCATTCACTCGATTTCTCATGTAGCGATTTTGTTATTTTGTTGTAATTCAAAAACAAATAACAGAAGATACATGAAAATTTCACAGAATATTTGTATTTTCGTTTTCTATACACCACAAAATTTTCAAAAAATATTGATTTGTTTTGAACTGTTTACGGACATTTTAAGTTTCCATTTTTTTTAGTTTTTTTTCCTATAATTGGCAATGTAAATGTATTTGTTGGGTAAAAAAGCTTGAAAAAGTAATACATGGCTCCTGATATATTGTTACAATAGCAGTTGAAAAATATTAAAAATACATTGGCACAATTTTTTTTATAAGCATTTTAAGTTCAAATTTTGACATAATTTATCAAATTTAAAATTTAATGATTATTTTGTAGTTCAAAATTTATAAAATGTTCAACTTTTATAGCTAAGGATTAAAAATTTAAAACAAGGTTCCACGTAAATAGGTTGTATAGAAATTCATTTATTCACAATAATATCATCAAATATACTTAGTAAAATCATAGGCTGACTGAAAGCCTTCGCTCAGAATCGTTTTTATTGTACAATTATATTATATCATTGAATTCAAATTTAACACCGTCCATTACAGTGACCCACTATAATAGTAACTTACTGTACAGCAGAGTACAGCCCAACAACCCACCTGCCCACCTTTTTTGCATTATATTTTTTCGTATAGTCAACGATCCTCGGGCCAATGGCGATATTTCGGGCGGCGTTGACGTCTCGATTCCAAATTCCAATTGATTCCGCATTTTTGGTAAAACCATGAAACCTGTGATCGTGTCGTCGGCGAACGTCCTTGTCTCGTGTGTGTTTCGAAGGCAGAGACATTTAAATATTTATTTATTTAATTATGAACAACAATCAAAAACATAAAAGGTTAGGTCAGAGACGGTTAGACATTAGGAAATTAGGTTCCGCGCACGGCACCGCGTCGTCATGTACTCGTCCACATCTACCACATCGAAACAATGAACATAGCCTTATCGTTCCCGTCAAAAAATCCAGTCCACGGATGTTTTGTCCCCGAGCAAAAAATAAATCGGGGATTTCAATATTGTGACGGGTAGTGGGAGGGGGGCTGGTGAAACGGACGTGAGTTATTAGCCATAGGACGTATGGTCCCCGGCATATTTTGATTATAGGACATTCGGTTCTCAGGTTATTTAAATCATTATTATTTATTAATTTCTTCAAAGTTCATTATTTTAATCACGATTAATAAATTTATTTTTAATGAACAACTCTGTAATATAGTTTAATATAGGCTATAGGTACGTAATAAAGATTTTACGTGCACAGGTGCACTATTATACAGACAAACAGGTTTGTGAGCTGAAATTCTAAATTTATACTAACACATTAAATGATTTTCAAAATATGTAAGAATGTCACTACTATAAAATTCTTTTTAATTATTGGAAGAATTAGACAATATTTTGGTGTATTTTGATTCAATTTAGGTACACCAGCGGGACATACAAATTGGTAACAACGGACTACGGCACAACTCGCTTTCTACGTCATCCACCAATATTTTCACCACACATGTGGAACGTGTACAATGCCACAAAATAAGGTTAGATCGGACCAACAACGTCCCATCTGTACGGTGCGATACTGCGATGGCGTTACATGAAAATTCAAAATTAATTTAAAAAATGTTTAATATTAATAGGTAATGTAAGTTAATTTTAAGTTAACGTAGATACAAAGTTAAAGTTAAGTTAATAAACCTAGTCCAGCCTTGGAAATGTCTATATGAGTATATGACTATATTTATAGATAAAAATAAAAATAAAAATTATAATTTAAAAAAAATGTTATTTTAATAAGCCTTCAAGAACTACAAGTTGTCTTAAAATTTTTAATTTTAATAAAGTGATAAGAGTTATAAATTCTATTAGTGATCAAATATAATAATATACTAATTATCGAATATTTTATCAAAATTAACTGGTATATTTACGGCCCACAGTATAAATATAAATTTCGAATGTAGATCACAAGTTGAAAAAGGTAGGGCACGCCTGCACTATACAATACACTATAATGTCTAATACCTGAAATCGTTGTGGTTTATTATGTAAATAAGTAAGTGCTATTAAAGTATATTAAATGTAAGTGCCTAGTATATAATTATACAAGCACTAAGTGGGTATAAATGTATAAATCGCAGAATGATAAGTGATAAATGATAACCTTTTAGTATTCAAATAACCTACGCCTTACGAACGTAACATGTAGGCATGACTATACAGACTTGGCCAGATAGGTACAGTGAAAACACAGACTTGTAAAAACACATATAAAGTATAGGCATATGCGCAATTAGGTGGAAGCTTTGGGAGGGCTTAGCCCCCCAAATATTTATCTAGCCTCTACATAATTTTTATCTGTACCTATTATGTTTAATATCATCAATATCAACATTTTCTTTAATTTTTTGCAACAATCTATTTTTATTATCACCGAATATCATAATTCATAACGAGTTGATGAAATAATGTTGAAAAAAAACCTGTGGGTCTGTGCTGCTAATAAAATTCTTTCTCCAAAAAATTGAAACTATTTATAGTTGCGCCTATGAGTATAGGTAATGTTATTGAGTGACTTTAGACATTTCCGTCCTATAATGGGATAAATATCACCGCCCCTTGAGCACCTCCCCGGGTTAGCCTTCCCGGGTTCAATTGTGAATCTAAACCATTCAAGGACCCACTCAAGCACACATAATTTTTTTTTTAATCAAAATCAGCTAGATTAGCCGTTTAGGAGGAGTTTGAATACTTACACATGGAAAGATATATGTATATATATATATTATGACAGTATATATTTATAGGTACATACATGTTTACAAAAGAGCTGTGTAGTTGGCATGATAATAAAAGTATTTACTGTAAATATTTATAAAGTATTCCTATCGGCGATTGAAAGCTTATCAATTATCTGGCCGAAGGACTGAAGGAGGGTGGATCTGTAACGGGGAACATGTAAAATAACATACAAATGATACACAGCGTCCCCGTTACATTTTATCACTTTCAATCACCAATACGTAATACATAAATATTAATATAATATGCATACAAACAGCGATTGTATAAGACACGATAAAAATCTCAATAATTTTATTACTTTCGATTATAGTGTCATTATGTGAACTTAACTCGAATTATCACACCAAAAAGTACTTATAGTCCATGGCAAACCAATTAAATTTGACGAATTAGATATACCTGGTCACCTGGATCTCCGTTGTATACCTATAATACGTTTTGCACTGGTTAGTTGGTAAAATAGTTGTACGTTACGGTCACAAGTTTGGAAGTAAATATAACTATGTATGCTGTAATTATACATATTGTCACCTTTGCAAGCAAAGGCATAGTCAGGGCCCAGGGGTAACCCCAACCATTCCATAATGCAGTTTGTTTCATTAGGTTCGTTAATAAGACTCAATAAGACAATAACATTGATTCATTTTATATTTGAAACTTCATAAAATGTTCAATTTTCATGGCCAAGGATTTAAAATCTTAAACAAGGTTTCTATCATTGAATTCAAATTTAACACAGAGATGACGACGAGTAAAGAAGATGAGAGACGCCTGAGGGTATGCTGACTGGTTGCTTTGATTTTTTAATCATGAACATATTTTATCTAGCAAATTGAAAAAACTAATACAAATTTAAAAATCGAAAATGTCTATAATAGTAGCACAACATATTATTTTAAAACTATATCGTGTCAATAAATTTGAAAAAATAAATATTAGGTGAATAATTTAAGTGTCTATTACTAGTATCTATTCTTTTGAATTACAAAAAAAAAAAAAAACAACAATTTTTGATCAAATGTTTTTTGGTAAGATTTCCCGTTTTTCAACTTTTAGATTCTAAGTGGAACGATGATGAATGTATTGATTTTACAATGATGTGTATTTTTTTTTATTTGTTTTTGTGTCTGTCATCACCTTTTAGGACAGTAAAAGTGCTTGGATTTTCTTCAACAGAATCTTTTCTGATAGAAAAGTAAATCTAGTTGGTACTTTGGGGGGGGGGGAGGGAGTCACTAACCTAACCTAATCTAACCCACTTGTAACCTACCGTACAGCAGAGCGACTTTTTTTTTAGTTTATCTTATTAATTTCGAAAAGCATTACTTTATTTACTTCTTATCCCCTTGTACCAACTAGATCTAAAATGCTACTATAAAATTGAAGCATTTTTACTGATACAAAATGTAATGGCACAAAAATACAAAATCAAAACACACATCAGTGTTATAACCATACACTTATTCCACCGCCAAAATCTAAAATTGATATAAATGTTAACATCATTGGTTAATATTTAAGCTATACTTGAATAAATCAATCGGAGTTTAAACGGTTTGATACGTCATTGTATTTACGTTTTTAAATTTAAATTTAGGTTATGAGTTACTAGTTAGTATATATACTAGAGTACCTATACAGTTATGAGTTTAATCCAACTATTTTGAACATACACAGATAGTACAATAGAAATTTAGTTTCTATAATTTAAAAAGTAAAAATAATTTATAAATCTAATATTAATATAGTTTTTAGTTTACTGATGTAGCTTGGTGTAGGTATCTCAATATTTAATCCATCAGGCGTGTTGCACGCGATGTGTAGGTACTTAAAAGATTATATTTAATACTATATTAATTAACAGCACCCAATATATCGGCGTAAGTGATAGATCACATGCACAGTCTAATTTTTTCGTACAATTTATGTGAAGTTCTTAAAATATTTTTACAGGTGGATTACTAATTACAACATTAATCTTTCCTCAATACATTTACCTAAGCTATTATATAGTTGTGTGTAGTTTATTATAGTAATTTGTTGTACATATCTATTTAAATAAAATAGATATAGCCATAGCTAAAACCATAGATTTAGATTGACGATTGGAGTGGTATCGGACAACCGAGTTATTTGGATTTTGCCAAAAAAACAATACCGTCTACATATGAAAAGATATCAGATGACAATGTCATGGCATATAAAATATATTATTATTAATCCATATTTCTTTATTGTGTGTGGCGTGTCATAAGCAATATTTTTCATGTTCTGGGTTATTTCTAGGCAGAATTTCAGCATGTGGAAATTCAGCTCGAGATTTTAGCACACGATAATTATTAGGGTAAGTATAGGACATTCAAACGAGCAACAACGCATACGACGTTTGAGAGCGAGACAAATCAGCGCACATAATATTAATTAAAATGAATAAAACTAAATTATTTTAACATTTAATTTTAATTTTATTAAAATATATCGCCATAGTAAAATATATCGAGTTGATTAAATATTAAATTATAATAGTTATAGTATTGCTCATGGTCTGTTTCCATTTATCTATATACATACAATTTTGCACCCGTTTTGTTCCGGTATGTATGGAACTTTTCTTTGATGACTAATATCATACCGTACTTTTGTAAAACACTCCTTATTTCTCTGTTTACAAACTCTAAGCCATTATCAGTTCGTAATACTTTGACCTTAAAACCTGTATCAGTTTTTATTTTATGTATTATACCGTTTCGATCAAATCCTTTACTTCGCTTTTATATTTTATAATATTTTCTTCGTCTTTTTATAATATAAATCAGCATGTATTACCTCTCATACAACTTTTGTGTTTGTTGGACTAGACTTGAATGTTTATTTATGCTGTTTACCGATTACGCACGAATCACAGGAAAAGTGATTTTCGTTATCAGTTAGTTTTATATTATGTTTTTCTAATAATATATTATTAACATACCTACTATATATTTTGATGACTATTATTATAAGCCTTTCATGCCATAATCTTAATATGTCCTTGATAACAATATTCGCTTGTGGTTCTTCTATATTCAGTGTGATGACTTTGAACTTTATTTTAAATAGTTTTCCTTGTCTCTCACCTGTATAGACTATATCTATCCGTTTCTTGAAAATGCACATTAATTTTTATCTGATGATAGTGTTAAGTCTTTATCTAACGCTACACAACACGAAAATATATTATACTTTATTTGTGGCACATATATAGTACGTCTAATAAATAATTATTATTCCATTTAATGTTTGCAAATGATAATATTTTTATATTACCCTTTCCTTCTCCTAACAAAATTGAGTAGTCACCTATTCTTACTTGAATTCGTTTGTCAAATAATACGTTATTATAAAACCAATTTATTTTACCGCACATGTGATTGGATGCTCCCGAGTCAAGTAACCAAAGTTCCTCAATATCGTTTGCATTAATTGTTCCAGTAATAAATGCATTGCCATCATCACTTTTCTTGTTTCTTCGTGTGTTTTCTTAGCTTCTTGATTTTTCAAGTATTTTCTGCATTGACTTTTCCAATGTCCTGGTAAATTACAAAATGTACAAAATTAACAATTACCTGGTTTTCTTTTAGCTTTAATTTTATTCCCAGATTTCCAATTCTTCTTTGGATTATTTGCCGTTTGCGCTATTGACTTTTGATTTTCCATTACTGTCATACATCTCTATTGTACCCTTGTTTCTTCAATTACTAATCTACTCGTATTAAATTATTAATTGTTCTATCACCAGCTGAGATAGAGTTGTTTCTATTAAATATACTATATTAGTCTGTATCAATAAATAATAAGTACATGAATATGGTTCATATGGTTCGTCAATTAAAAAACATGGGAGGATAAGACAATCACCCCCCCCCCCCCCCCCCTCCGTAATTACGGTACTGCTTGTAAAGTAGATCGGACGGCGTCGGCGCTTCTCTCCTTTGAACGCCCCCCTCCCCGCATACACAGAACTGACCCTCTGTATAACCCATTTGCCCACCTCGTTTTAAAACAGTCTGCACACACCGACCACGCGTCACACTCACGTTGTCCATTCATCCTTATAAACACGAATATAATAATCGTCTCCTCTTCGGAAGTCTTCTTGTCTCTTGGAACTTAATCGTTTTTCGCAAGACAGCGGTCTTGCTCATTTCAAATTTGATTTTTAGTCTCGTTCTATATTTCGTTTGCACTCCATACTACACGAGTGTGGAATCAGTCAAAACCATCATGCTCAGAAGTAACACGACTCTGGTAACGGCTCAAGAGGGCCCGAAAATGAACACCAACACCACCCGACCCGGTAAGACTTTCAAGAACAACAAAAATTCGATGCATGTCACCGCGTTTTTCGTGATGTTATGTTTGTGTTTGCTACATAATGATAGCAACGCAGCCGTATACAAAAAGGTATGTAGTTCATAAAATCATAAAGTAGAAATTATACTCAATCCATGTATTGTTTTATGTAGTCATAATGTTGTATTTTCGCCTATCGTTTTTCCTCCTAAATCGATACAACATTGTGCGTATTATAGACATTTTTTTTTTTTATTAATAAAAAATTACCCTCGGCGACATAGCCTATTGGGATTATAGAAATTTTATTTAGCGCATTTGTTGTTGTTTTTCTAGAGGGCTATCGCTTCAACCACCGAAAGTACTACGGTACCAATGAAAGAGTGTCACAATAATACCCCTTGTGGATGGGCCATCTACGTACCATTCACACGCCGTATGGAGTATTTCATGAAAAACACGTGAGTCCATCCTACCACCTCACTGTACTTATAGTAAAATATAACAGTCGTTTTAAGTATACTTTTGCTTGATTACAGTTGCATTTGCAATCCGACCTTGGCGTGCTTGAAGTCAGAAGATGATCTGGCCGTCAACGCTTACGTGTTCCGCTGCATGACCCGAGTCACATTGACTACTACGGAAATTACACCGACGACAACGACATATAATGATATCTACGTCATTTCACCAACATAGTTTCATGACTCAATATCATCATAACACTATAAAGTATTTCATTACCAAAAAACCACAATAATAATATGTACCCATGTACCCATTATATTATCCAAAATTATACATAACAACAACAGTCATACTCATTATGAAATCAAATGACTATACAATATCTAATAAACACTATCAAAACATAATAAATATCTGTAACCATGTACCCGGATATTATTCAAAATGTACTAAAAACTATTAATAAGTAATAACCATATATATATACATATGTACAAATGTCACTAATCTTACAAAAACATATTTTGATTATACCCATGTACTTATGCAAAATAAACAATAACAATTTAATATGGAACAACAAGGTATCATAGGTCAATACTATAAGTAGAACCCCCTTTTTGATATTCAAATCAGTCTGCTCCCATCAGCTGAGTCGGATCTCAGCAGCACAGTATCATACGCACCGTCTTATTTCATTACTCAAAATCTTAAAGCGAAGATTAACTTAAAAACGTTATTATTTCTAAATCTTATAAATATCTTGTTGTGAACTATTAAATATAACTTCTATTTTCAAACCAAAATTGTACTTACGTTATTCTTACAAACTAACATCGTCAATACTCCATTTCCAAATTCTATCATCGTTCAAATCAAGCAACATCAACCAGGTAAGAAATTATAATAATACTTACCATATAACTTCAATAAAGAAATCATCATCAACAATAAAATAATAAAGACACGCAGACTCCGGTGCATCACAAATTCATAAATCATTACATATCATTTTATCCTTCGTTTATAAATCTATACTCACGATCCCAATCAATCGTAATAATTATATGCTTTAATTTATAATAAAAGATAGGATAAAGAAAGTCGACATTCAAAATCCCTTTAATTATTATTTATTAAAATAGCTAACTATACCAACTTAGTTAATATTATTTTTAAATAATCACAGACAATTTGAGATTTGAGCAAGGGATACGTCCGTCGCAACGAAGCCGTAACCAACTCTACACCACTAGGGCTGATTCTTCGCCCCAGGACAAATACATGTATATTAGTTTATTCCTATTAGGAAATTTACTTATGTTCCAGAAATTATATTTTCTACTATTTTTTTTAATTAGTCTTAAAAGTTAAGAAGAAGAAATATTTTTTTATGCTATTAAAGCTTTTTCGTAATTTATTTATATTTAGGTACTTATACCCATACATTAATTTGAAAATTACAATATTTTTCAGTGAAAACAAAAATATTTTTCAAATATATATTTTAAATATTATGTTTTTATTTAGTTTACAAAAACATTTAAAAAAATAATATATTTAAAACTTATGTAAAAATGTTTATAAGGAAAATGTTGCAATGAAAACAATTAAAAATTATTTTACTATTATAATTGTTGTTGAATGTATTAAAAATATGTTTTTCGAAAATATTTATTTGACTATATTGAAACAATATTTTAAAAATGTGTCCTTAACATCTTTATAAATTAAGTAGGTATACCTATAGCTATTATAAATATAATATGATGTATATTTTAAATGTTTTATTAAAATATGTAGTGGTCTAAACTAATATGTTATAACTAATGGTTATATAATTATGGCTTTTATATCTAACTAAAATTTTGATTTTTTAAAAAGTATTAAATGTAATAAATGTATTTAAGTCATATATATATAATTTTCTATTTTTCTACACAACGTAGATTGGTTGGTAGTTATTATTATACGATGTTTTTTAAATTGGATATTATAATATACTACCCTTGATAAACAATATAATATCCATTCACCATTGTATTTTATATTACAATTTACTACAATTTACATGCATAATCTATAATACACAATATGATTATATGAAGTACTCGTACCTAATACCTATTAGTTATTAGTTACTATGGGTACGTGATATAATTATACCAATACAATATATGGTATCATTGGTAGGTACCGTACATAGACTAACAACATATACAATAACTTGTTTTATATGTCTATGTTATCGTATCAATTTAGTTTAGCGGCCACGCATTTTTCCAAATTTCTTTTTATCAAACAGATGTCTTTTTTGTAGGCTGAGAATTATGGTTCAGAATGGTTCAATTTTGTAATGGACCATTGAAGTAACAATTAATTTTTTGCACTTACCGTCAGCTCTATTCCAGTCATTAGTTGATCTTGGCCATCTAGCTCTAGCTTCTTCGTCTTTGTAATTCTAGAATAAGGCTTTTACCACTCTCTCATAACTATTGGCCACAACGGCCAATTTTCCACATTTGATAATATTGTCATTTTCACAGAATCGTCCATCTGGACTTTTTTTGTTTACATAACTTTGAAGAATAACAAAATTACTTGTATAGAGCGTAGTCCCTTCGAAGTCCAAGTTTATCCAGAATGTCTCTGGGCCCATACCGTCCTGTTGAGATTAGGATTATGTTTCTATATCGATATAGACAAAAATGACTAGGTACACTGATTTTAGTAATAAGTAACATTTTAGTAGGTAACGCATGACGTACACATAAGTAATAATATAATGTAGTGCCTACAGTACATGCTTAAAGTCGGCCTCATTTAAAATGACCTATTGACCTTGTTATTGTAACTTTTATGGCGTAATTCGCAACTTGCGAATAACAACGATGTAGTTATTATTGTGCATGCAATATGAAAAATGTAATATTTTTATACAATATCAAATTATATTCAACACTTCTTCGAGTCAGAATCTTATTGGAATATTTATCCTACGCACTACACCTTGTAACTAGAAAAGACGGTAGCGGCGGTTCTCTACTTAGAACGACGCCCTCCCCCGCCTTCCCACCATGACCAACCATCTATAATATAATCTATTTTCCCACCTCAATTTTAAAACAGTCAGCACACTCGCGTTGTCCGTTCATTCTTATACACAAGATTTTAATAAACGGCTCATCTCCGGAAGTCTTCTTGTCCTTAGACCTCTAGTGACGACCTCGAGAGGACCCGACAATGAACACGACCACCACCCGCCCGGCAAGGTTTCCAAAAACAACGAAAACTCGATGCTTGTCTCCTCTTTTTTCGTCATGTTATGTTTGTGTTTGCTACATAATGATAGCAACTCAGCCGTATACAAAAAGGTAAGTAGTTCATAAAATTATAAAATAGAAATTGTACTTAATCCATGTATTGTTTTATGTAGTCATAATGTTGTATTTCCACCTGTCGTTTTTCCTCCTAAATCGATACAACATCGTGCGTGTTATAGAATTTTTATTTAACGCATTTGTTGTTGTTTTTTCAGAGGGCTATTGCTTCAGCCACCGAAAGTACTACGGTACCAAAGAAAGGGTTCCACAATAATACCCCTTGTGGATGGCCCATCTTCGCACCGTTCACACATCGTATCGATTATTTCATGAAAAACACGTGAGTCCGTCCTATCACCTCAATGCACTTATAGTTAAATATATATAACAGTCGTTTTAAATATACTTTGGCTTGATCGCAGTTGCATTTGCAATCCGAACTTCCTAATGGGAAATCTACTTATTAATAATATGTTCCTGAAATTATATTTCCTACTATTTTTTTCTAATTAGTCTTAAAAGTTAAATAGAAGAAATATTTTTTATGCTATTAAGGCTTTTTCGTAATTTATTTTTATATAGGTACTTATACCCATACAGTTATTTGAAAATGTTTTCAAATATTATGTATATATTTTACAAATGTTTTTATTTAGTTTGTACAATTATTTAAGAAAAATAATATTTTTAAAAATTATGTAGAAACTTTTAAGGAAAATGTTACAATGAAAACAATTAAAAAATATTTTACTATTATTAATATTAAATCGTTATTCTTGGTTATTTTATATGCGATTTCGTCCAAATTTGAACTTAAAATAACTATAAAAAAAACTGTGTATAAGTATATTTTTAGATTTTTTGGTTACAGAATTAACTACTAACCTACGTGAAGCCTTTCTTACAAATTCCAATCCCTAGCTATAAAGGTTGAATATTTTAAAAATGTTTAACTTCTAATTTTCTATTTGATAAATATTGTTAAAAAATAAAAATAGAACATTAAATGCTTATTAAAAAAATTGGGCACATGTATTTTTAATATTTTTCAACTGCTGTTGTTTCAATATATAAGAAGCCTTGTATTGAGTTTTTAAACTTTTTGACCCTACAAATAAAATTGTTTTGTCATTCATAGAAAACAAGGTGAGCAAGTGGGTGTTGCTTTGCTGTACAGTATAGGTTACACGTGGGTCACTGTAATGGACGGTGTTTAATTTTAATTCAATGATATAATATCATTGTATAAGAAAAACGATTCTGAGCAAAGATGGTCACTCAGCCTATGATATTACTAACTATATTTGATGATATTGTTGTGAATAAAGTAATTTATCATACAGTAGCTGGTAAGTTGAATTAATATTATAAAATAACAACAAAATAACTTGGTTAATTAATTTGTAGTTTCATTCAATTTTGAACAAAAAATAACTATAAAAAAAAAAATTGTTTTTTATAATTTATATTTTTTGGTTACAGATTAACTTACTTACTACCTACGTGAAACCTTGTTTTACATTTTTAAACCATTACAAAGCAATTATTAAATTTTAAATTTGATAAATTTAGTCAAAATTTGATCTTTAAATTCTTATAAAAAAAATTGTGTTTATGTATGTATGCTTGTAGACATTTTTTTTTTGATAAAGTAGACAAACTTATTTTAAAATCTCAGAATTATAAAAAAAAATTGTTATGAATTCTAAACTCAAAATAATTTGCTCATTTTCGTGATTTTTCCATATTTTGTCAAGATTTAAACTTAAAATAATTCTAAAAAAAAAATTGTGACTGGATTTTTAATATTTTTCAAAAGTCATTGTAACAATATATTAGGAGCCTAGTATTACATTTTCAAGCTTTTTTAGCCATTAAATAAAATTTAATTTGGCATTTATAGAAAAA